TAAATAATAGTTGATGCAGGCCAGAGGTCAAGTGTCAAAGGTGAGCTGTGTCCAGCAGGAAATCTCAGCTGTCCGTACTCGGCTGTTGATGTCTGAAGGCCTCCTAGCGAAACAGGGAGAACTGAATTAAAGAAATCACAAGGCAGCAAAAACTTGGGTGGCTACCGAATGACTTTGAAGGACATGAATAGTTCTACAACTGAATCATTGGACAGTGTAAGTTTTTACAAGTTATTGGTGTTAGAAATTGAATCATTAAATTAAGTACTGAAGAGGTTGTGTTCCCACGAATTTTGAATCTTAGAGATTGTAAGAATTTCAGAAACAGTCTGACCTCACTCTCTTATTTTGGAGAGAATAAAAATAACCCCAGATATATACACACTTACCCAAACTGGCAACTGATTGAATAAAAGAGAAGGTTCTAGACTCCCATCTTCAGATGGCTGATTGGTGGCCTTTCCATCATGCCATAGCTCTAAAAATTAGTGGCATATGTACATATTCTCAAAAAAAGCAGAGAAATTAGTCATTCAGATACTTATTTCTGTTCTAATTATCTAGCAGACCTGAAGATAATTCCCATAAACTTCAATGCATGTAACATTTTCAAGGAACAAATGTCCTACTTTCATCCTGCTCTTGGTCACATACCATGACAGAATGCTGTTTGGGGAGGAAAGGTTTGTTTCAATTTACAGATCACAGCCCATCAGTGAGGGTCGTCAAGGCAAGAACTCAAGCAGGAACGTGGAGGCAGGCCTGCTTACCGTGCACACAGCATCATCTCTGACCCAGGAACTCACTTCACAGGCAAAGAGCTGTTTTGGGTCTGGGGTCGTTCAGAGATTCACTCTGACCGTGATAAATTTTAACAAGTAAGAAGCTTTATTAAATACTGTCCAGGACCATCCCCAAGACTGAGGATGCTCAGATTATGGCACTAATTATTTTAGTCAGGGGCTTATAGAGGCGAAACTCACAAGGCTACATACTTCCTGCCTACATGGAATCAAGCACACACCCTGTGCAATTGACGGCAGCCAAGCTTGTGTACAGAAGTGAAAACACACAGTTTGTTATTTTACATGAACAATGGCCCTCAGCATTCCAGGAAGTTATCTGTCCTTGGGCAAGTGAGGCTGACAGGTTAGAGGCATTTCTGTTTTATAGCTCTCTTAAGCAGCGTCATTTTAACTTCAAACGTAACACTAGCCATCACTGAGGCACAGTGGGAACCATAGAGGAATGCCGCCTGATGGCTCATTCCAGCTAGTTTCCTTGTGCAGCCCAGGACCACTTGCCCAGAAAATGCACTGCCCATAGTAGACTGGGCCCTCCTTCACCAATGAACAACCCAGCAGTCCCCACACACATTCCACAGGCCAGTTTGATACTAGGGAATTCCTCAACTGAAGTTCTCAGGTGATTTCTAATTAAAGTGAACTAGAACACAAAACTAGATTCTAGTGTGAATTGTCCCTTCTCCAGGTAGACTAGAAAGGACATGTAATATGCATCTAGGGTTTGTATTCACTTAGGACTACTTTTCACAGTGTCATGAACTGTGGTCAATAATCTATCTTGGGGGATTTGTTTTGTTTTTTGAAACAGACCTTGCTACAGTTCCCAGATTGGCTTCAAACCCAAGGTCCTCTTGCTTCTGTCTCCCAAGTGCTAGGATTATAGGTTTGCTCTCCATGGCTACAATAATCTATCATAAGAGAGGGAAAAAAAATCTTTTTCTTTTGCAGACTGTAATAAACTAAAATTCTTGCTTAGGTAAACATTGTAATAGGATTGGCAAGGAAGGTGACTATAAAGTAGAGTTAGCTGAACAGTTGAAGAAGGTGCTTGTTTGTAATCCCAGTGTCCAGAACTGCGTGATTGACAGCTCATTTTAAGGTTTGTAGAGAATTCCCCCGGGAGAGCACCTGTATTTGGAGGGGTGTGACAGAACAGAAGGGCTAGAGGAAAGCTTTTTAGCTGCTTTCTGAGCACAGACATGTCCACATAAGGCATGGCAGAAGGGCTAAGGAGCTCCCCAAAAAGTGTGTAGAGGGCAGAGTAGAGGTCACCTGGGCAAGACATCGGACCTTAGAGCCAGTGTGGCAGAAGTTGCGGTAAAGTTTGGAGAAAGGTGGACTGTTTTTATCTGCTGCCCGTGTCCCCGTTCTCTCACAGTGAAGTGGTTACAAATGAAAGGCAGTCTTCTATTTGTCGTCCATGACTCACGGGGTCTACTAGGTCTAATCTTAAGAGAGAGTGTGCCCTGACCTTTCCCCAACACCTCTTCTCCACCCTCTGCAGCAGCGTGGCTTAGTCTCTGCTTGCCTCTTTTCTTCTTCAGTCCAAATGGTGTGGTAATATTTCATGTGAATCATGAAGCGGACTGAAGGGAATGGGAAGGTTTAGAACAGGGTCTGACACGTAACCAGCTGTGTACGGGCTGGGCATTGCCCTTGCTTCCCTTACACTTGGTTCATCCGTACAGTCTCGACTGTCTTATCTCCTTCTTCCCTGGAGTAAGAAAGGAGAACTGAGATAGGGGGTCCAAAGAAGAATGCACGTCGGAGGCGCAGGACATGCCTTCTCTTAGCGAGGACACACCTTACAAGTGTCTTCTCCTTGGCATGTCTCAGCATCTGAGCTCTTGATAGGATGCCCTCCCTCCCAGAACAGTCGGCTCATTTCTTTCTGACTCCTCAGTGGGAAGGAGAGGCTTTTTAACAGTCTCTCACATTAGAAGGAGAACACGGCCTCAGACTTGTATTTCATTGGCTGTTGCTGCAAACTTGGGTATGTAAGGACCGGGACTGCACAGGGCGCTGAAGAGGCATGGCCAAAGGGAAGAGCTCTGGGAATCCCCCTGCCTCCTACTGCCAGAGCACATCCACCAGTGCATTCACACATGCGCGCGTGCCAGAGCATATCCACCAGTGCATTCACACACACGTGTGTGTGATTTTCTCAGCCCTGAAGCATGTGAAGTAGAAGAGCCCCATTTTGACTGGAATATCTACTCTTAACTGTTAGTGTTATTAAAACATTTCCAAAGCGCAAAGTCTTCTTTCTGTGCACTAGTCTTCAGTTTCTCAAATAATCTCTGTTCTGTATCCAGGACTAGGGAGCTTACAACAGACAAGCTCTTGTGGAACCTTGGACATGGGACTTGATTTTTGTTGGCTTTGGAAATTTGCCCTAGTTTGGGGAGAATGGAAAGATCTGGCACCTTCTATTTCATTTTATAGGTTCAAATACCATTGACTATCACTGTGGTTTTGGCTTGTTGAATACATTGGTAACAGCGGGGTTTTGTTCACTGTAATGCTTCTCTGAAGAGGAAAGCTGGGTTCGGCGTTATTTATGCTGTCACCATAGCTCTTTTATTAACACGTTAAATTACAACCAAGAGCTGTTCTAAAAACTCGTCAGACTTCCTGAATGTTTTTACATCACAAGAGTGTAACCCAGCCCAACTTCAAAGTCACTGCTGTAGCCTTCCTTGGCCCTCACCGTCCAGGCCCGCATCTGTTACTGCCTACTCAGGTGGCCCTGTAGACAGCGCTTGCCTTCTGGTTGTGACAACTTCAAAACAGGTTTGAATTATGTTTCTTCTGTCACACCTCAGTAGCTCCACTTGGAAGTATTTGCCTAGGGAAAGTGCAGTGTGTGTGTGTGTGTGTGTGTGTGTGTGTGTGTGTGTGTGTGTGTGTGTGTGTGTGTGTGTGTGTGTGTGTGTGGTGTTAGGTATGGTGGCTCACAACTCTAATCTCAACGCTTGGAAAACTAAGGCAGGAGATTCAGGTTGAAGCCAGCCTGGGTTACAGAGACAGGGAGAGGAGGACGGTTTTTAAAGATAAAGTGTAAGACTAAAATCCAAGCTCTACCTAGAACTCACTCTCCCAAGAACCAGGCTGTGTAGGTGTGCATGTGTGCATGTGTGTATTTGGGAACCGAGAACTCTGAAGCAGGTAGTGACTGCCTGAGCACCCCGCAGCAGCCGTATGTACCTGGCAGCGTCTTCTTCAAGGACACAGGGCTAACCCGTTGGATCAGGGTGGTCTCTGGATGCGGAGGCACAGAGCTGCTGGGCTGTTTGTTTCTCTGGCCTGTTGACACGAACATCTGCCCACACAAAGTTGTGCAGAGATGCGTAGAAACTCCCCCCAGTGTGCCCCTTGGATGAGCATGATGTGTTGGTAGCACAGATTACAGTGGGCAGATGTTTCTGGGGGTTTCGGCTCAGGCTTGCCAGTGACCCCCCATCCACAGATGCCCCACCTGTTCTGGCTCCAGGTCACCCTGGGTTGTGAGACACAACTAGCCGAGGAGCTTTGGGAGTGGGTTTCTGTTCTTTTTAGCAGAGATACACTTTATTTTCTACCAAAACTCCTGAGCTAGCTCAGCAGGAGAGCTGTGCCTGGGACTAATGTGTGCTCTTTTTCTTACCTCCACCCAGTGTCACCAACCTACTTTAGGCCACATCAAATGAAATCCTACTGCAAAAATTTTGATGTTGTTGGCCTCTGAGCAACAGACTGAAAAAGTCTGGTCACCAACTGGCCATATCTGTACAGTGTTAAGGCAGGTCTCCTTCACTCTTGAATTTCATACAGATGTGTAGTCCCAGTATAGTTCTCAGTGTGACATGGGGCTCGGAATGCTCTTCTCAGTGTCATTGTGTCCCTAAAGGAAAAAACTATACCCTGCTGTGACTCAACTCCCATGTAAACTCCCTTCCTCCATGAGTTAGAACATGTCCTGTAAACATGAAACTTTCTCTCTCCCTCTCCCTCTCCCCCCCTCCCCTTTCCCCTCCCTCTCCCTCTCTCCTCCCCCTGTTACATTGGGAAGACCATCCCCCAATGTATTCTATTGGCTCTGCAGACCATTGTCCTGATGCATGGCACACCAGATGTATTGTTACATGTAGACCTTTGCAATGTATTACCTTTTTGTTGTTTCTAACTTTTTTTTCTTTTCTTTTCTTTTTGTAGGACCAGGAAGAAAACAAGGGAGCAACAAGTTGGCCTGAGTTCTACATTGATCAGCTCAATTCCATGGCTGCTGTAAGTGTAATTCACATCCCGGGACAGTTAAAATCTCATACAAAGTACACAGTTGCACAATGAGTTGGATTGAGTAAGATCTTCTGAACGCTGTTACCTTTCCAAACTCCATTCCAAACACTCCATGTTTGAGGTGTTGGGGACAAGGGGGCAGAAATGTTGCTTAGCAAAGTGATTTTTCTAGCATGTTTTAAATAGAATCTACACATACTAAAATATGATTGACTTTAATGTTATAAGAGGAAATATCATTTGAAACGTGTGTTGGATTCAACTTGAACTTGCTGTTGCTGTGACTAGTTGTCCAGAGCTTTGCAGCATTATTGTGGAAAGTGGAACCATCTAATGGTAGTGTAGCTGAACTATCCCTTCATTATGCTCTTGCCAGCCTCCTTCCCACTGGGAATGTGGTTCCTCCCTGGCTTCTTGATTTTATGGGGGAGGCATGATGCTCCTTTCCCATAAAAATATATAAAGAGTCAAAGTGATTTGATGAAATGGTGTAATAATAGGAATGCTCTTGGGAAAGCTTTGTTCCATGGCTTTTGGGTTCAGCTATCAGTTAAAATGCACTCTCAGTATCTGAATTCTGACCTCTGAGATGTTAGCATTCCAGGCAGCTTGAAGATCATCTATTAATCATAGCTAAAATTCACAACAGATATAAATCACTAGCCTTTGAGCCTTACCAGCTTAAATCACATTGCCACTGGTGAAAATTGAAGGCTGACCACAGTTTGCCTCAGTAGGCACACTCGTGATCTTAAGAATTGTTTGTATCCAACTTTAAGTTTATAATATGAAATAGAAGGTAGCTTCCAGAATACTCTGCCTCTTCCCTACCTCTCCTGGAGAATTCTCTTCTCGCGACTCCAAGCAAGGCCTTTAGCTGACCCAGTGTTTTGCTGCTGCTTCCCTTGTAAATATTAAAAACCAGCCAGAATCCATGAATCGCCTGCTCTGCTTTTGAGTTTTAAAGAACCTTCACGTTCAGTCTCTTCCTCTTCTTCCCCATTTCTTTCTTATTCTGCTGCTGTACCTTGAATAATAAACAGCCCAGTAGATGTGTCCAGGACTGTATAAATTATAGAAGAAATCACATAAGCTTTTGCCTCAAGGGTTTCTGGTCTAAAAAAAAAAAAAAGATAAGAAAAGAAAATAACCACCAAATCCCATTCCATACACTGTGTTCTGCACCAGAGATGAGGGAAAGATGACCTCAGCCTTTGTGTGCTTATGATAACGGAATGGGAGATGCCTGATGACCACCAGGGATTTTTCTGTGCATCTACCCAAGCATTAATAATTTGGAGCCATTTATTATTTCTCACATATAGGGGTTGTTTGTGAGTTCTTGTTCCTGACTATTAGGAAAAAAAAAAACAACTGTCAGGCAGACTGTCTCTGGGTATAATTAAGTTGGCATTGTTTGATGTCTAACAAGAGAAATGCTTAGTTAATGAATTCCCTGCCCTGAATGGAGAAGTACTAAGTATTGTGGATTTTTCTTTCCTTAGATGTCGGGAAGTCATATTAATTTGTCCCCTGCTGTGTCTAGGCTTATCCTTGAGGTACAGGGTCTTGGATATTCCAGGGTATGGCCCTTCTTCCCTTCTTCCTCTTGTCCCCTGGAGGGCTCTCTGCAGCATTCTTGAGTGGTCTGCACTTCAACTGTTTGGTTCCTACCCCAGAATCTTCCCCAGGACATCACAAGGTCATTAGATTATGTGCCTTTGCTGTCCTTTATGTGTCAGACACTTAACAACGTTTTGAAATGCTCCTTCCTTAGGCCTGAGCCTTATCTTTCTAGGGTCAAAGATTAAGGGCATTAACTGTCCAGGGGCTAGCCAGGTCTCCAAACTCTGGCATCCTTAAAGAAGCAAGGAGCCCAGGAACAGCGGAGACCCTGCTGAGCTCTGTGTCTCTCAGCACCCTGCTTGCCACTGGTCCTTGCACAGTTCTGGCTGACATCTGTGCTAGAGGCTTCCCCATAGCACACAGTAGAAACCCTGAGACATCGTCCCCTGGGACGGGGATGGGACAGAGTTCCTCCAGATCCTTCACTGTCCCAGGGGCAGAATTCTGTCATCATCTGTCATCTGCAGCATCAGTGGCAGCTACTACTACTGAATGTGCCTCATGTGACCGGCAGTACTGTTTAAATCCAACCCTCACGATGCGGGGCCAGTGCTATTCATAGACAGAGTCTGAGTCTGGAGGGAAGTTACCTTGCCCAAGGTCATCAAATTAAGAAGTGGTCATCTAATTAGGAATTTAAACCATCTGGCCGAGCCCAAAGATAGTTTGCAATTAGCCTCTCCCTCTTGGTTTTGAAATCTCACATGCGGTACATGAAAGAGGCCCGAGGAGGGGACACTGTAGTTAGTGTAGACACTGTAGGTTCTGTGGGCTGTTCTGGGGAAAGGAAGGCTTCTGCTCTCTTTAATGCCTCTAGAGCCTGATAAAACAGGCCAGGTTGAGAACAGCCACACTTGCTGTGAGACCAGCTCTCTGTGGAACAAGTTAAGTTACTTTACGTAAGCTTCAAAACAAGAATGCTTTGTTCTTGGGGGCTGGAGAGCTGGCTCAGCGGTTAAGAGCACTGGCTGCTCTTATAAAGGACCTGGGTTCAATTCCCAGCACCTACATGGCAGCTCACAACTGTAACTCCAGTGCCAGGGGATCTGAGACTCTCATATAGAGATACATCCACGCAAACCCTCAATGTACATTAAATAAATAAATAAATGTTTGAAAAAAAGAATGCTTTGTTCTTTAAAGGACCCCTGCGTTATCTGCTGGCTTTCTCTCTTTGTCAATGAGCTCTGTGGTGCAGGAGAATGGCCTAACAGGTTTCAGGACTGGAGCTTGGCTCCATTTTTCCCAGTTCACACCAAGGAAATGTTTCAGCCTAGAGTGGTTCTATCCCAGGACACTGTGCCATGTCTGGGTACTGTGTCTCAGTGTGCATCTCAGCAGCCTTCCCTGGAAGGTCCTTGCCAGTGTGTACTCTGGCTTCTGCTGGCTTCTTATGTGAGCCGACACTTAGGCTTACGCCCATCCTGCATGTGCACCAGTGCGTGCTACTTGTGTGGCTTGGAGATTAACTCTAGACACGGCGGCTTAGCCCCTTTATCAGCTATTAAGTTGCAAAGGAAACTTCTAAGCTGAACACTTGAGGCTTTCTATAAAAAGCAGCATTTGGATGGCAGGTTCAGTTTTGTCACACAAATGCGATCTCAGATCCAAATCTGATAGTTTCACATTAAGGCATGATATGATCATGATCTTTCTGCTCTGGGGCAGTCCTCCCTGCATTAGGAAAGGGAGTTCCAATACAGTTTTCTGTAGCACTTCATGAATCTTCCAACTCTAAGGAAGACAGAGATGGACCGCCATCTCCTTGCATTCAGAAGCCTTCTCCAGAATTGCTAAAGTGCTAAGTTAGTGTTAGTGGTCCACAATAAAACGTGTAGTTTGAGTTCAGGATGGCCTTAGGAAGTTAATCTCTAAAACAAGGAGTGGTAGTCATTGTAAAGGCCTGATTCTGAGCTGCAGATTCAAAACAATTGCTGAGACTCCAGAGGAGTTCAGCTGCCACTGGAGAATGAACGCCCTTCCCTGGATTCACACTGAGTTGTCCATAAGATGGGCTCATGGTGGTTGGAGGACTCATTGGCTATTTCTGTGCATAGCTTCTTCATCTACTTCATCTGCTGACAGCTGTTGAGACACATCACCAGTGAAAGGACAGCTTTAGCAGAACAATAACAACTTAAAAAAAAAAAAGATCTTCTGCCCACTGCACCCACCTCCAGGTGGCATTAATGCCCCTGGTTATTCATTCGTTTTAAGCCTTACACTTCTTTCTCATCAAAAGGTCAAATGGGGTTTTAATTAACATTTAGTTACTTTATGTTGATGCTGTTGATTTAAAAATAATAATAAAGTCTCCCATAATTTTCGAACCTGAGATAAAAAGAAACACTAGATCATTGAGATCCATAGAGAAGCATCAGGCTTTTCTCCCTGTGTGGACTCACTTCACTGTGCCTCATCCTTTTATCAGGGTTGGTAACAGATCAGGCCAAGGAGACAGAAACATGCATTTGGAGCAGGCAAAGGAAAGGGCCAGCAGCTCCGTGGGTGAAGGCTTCTGGGCTAGACATGGGGAAGGAGGCTGATCTGCCACAGCTAGGTGACCACGGGTGAAAAAAGTGAAAAGACAGTAAACCTTGTGGATGTTGTGACTTTATGTCACCCGAGGACTCGAGGGATGCTACTTTAGCTGCTTTCCCAGTTGCTATGGTAAATTCTCTGAGAAAAGCACATTGACAGAGAACGTATTTATTGTCACCCACAACTCAAGGGTTCAGGCCATCAGGGTAGGGAAGTCAAGGCAGCAGGATTTGACACAGCTGGTCACATGACATCTACAGTCAGGAGCCGAGAACAGTGATTGCCAGTCCTCAGCTTGCTTTCTCCATTTACAGTCCCGGATACCCTGCTCAGGGAACCATCCACCCACAATTAGAATAGGTCTTCCAACATCAATTAATATAATCAAGATAATCTCCCATAGGCAAGCCTGCACGCCTGTCTCCCAAAGGATTATAGATTCAAGTTGACATTTAACACTAACCATCATAGACACACAACATATCACACACAGCATCCAGATACAGTGAAGGACCTTCTCAAGAGAATATGGCAGCTGAGACTGGAGAGATGGCTCAGAGATTAAGGGCACTGGCTGCTCTTCCAGAGGACCCAGGTTTGATTCCCAGCACCCAGATGGTAGTTCACAGCCATCTGTAACTCCAATTCCAAGGCATCAAACGCCTTCTCCTGGCTTCCTCAGTTATTGCACACACAACATACATATATGCAGATGAAACAACCATACACAGAAAGAGAAAATAAATAAGTTTTAAAAATTATTTTTAATATGGTAGAGTGTTAGAGAGCAGGATGCTCAATAGTTATTCTCCCCTAGTTTCATGACACCTGCCACACATACACACACACATAGTACCACACTCACACAGACAATAAATAATGCCACTGAGATCTGCTTACTTAGAGCCTTGCTCCTGCAGCATCAACATTGCCTGGAAAAGTTTGCAGGAATGTAGCCTCTCGGGCTTCCTCAGACCTGCCTAGACAATCAACTGGAGAAACACTACCTTAGCAGCTCTCCACATAGCGTGTGTGTGTGTGTGTGTGTGTGTGTGTGTGTGTGTGTGTGTGTGTGTGTGTG